TGTTTCCTTTTTTGTCTGCTTGTCCCGCTCCACAATCCCCGTTAAGGCTTTTTTTCTAGTTATAAACAGTTCAGGGCCAGCTGTGGCTGTTTGGTTCTAATTGGAGACTGTCTCTTTAAATTTTGAGGAGATCTGTGTGCATGCGTAGTAGAACCCTCCGAGGGTGGGACTGGGGTATCCACTAGCTCAGGCACCTCTATAGTTACCAGAATGGAAGTGCACAGACAGCAAGGGACCAACGAACACATACGAAAAGAAAAGAATGTTCACACCTTTATTTCCGTAGTTCTGCCAGGCATCTGTGGCCTCTCTGATCTTTCCCCGGCTTGGTCTAACCCAAGATGGCGGCTCCTGGAGCAGCTGAGCGTCCTGAACTAGAAAGCAATGGATTTCTTGCTTCTGGCACAAATTCCCCAGCTGTAAGCCTTCCAACCTTATAAATATTTCCTTTATATGTGGTTCAGAGTTCTGGGACCATTCCCTGAGCCTGCTTGGTCGGGTATTCTGTGTTGTTGCTGACGAGTTCCTTACTGCACTTCCACCTGATCCGCCATCTTGTTTGTTCTCTTTTTTCAATATAATCTTTTAAATGAAAACCAACAAACAACACTCCTTAAAGCAGCAGAATTCAAATGCATACATCTTTCTCTGAAAAACAAAAGCATGTGAATATTAAATTAGACACTTGTTGACTTAATTCAGCACTACTAAATTTATAAAAGATCTTGAAATAACTTATAAAGTCTAATCACTATTGAGATTAAAGTTTGTTCAAATATCTCAAGATTTCTTTTAAACTTTTAGTTTACGGTGATTACTTTTTATTCAAGATTTTTTAGGAATGCCTGATGTGGCACTGTAGGATAAGCACTGGACTGCTAACCACAAGGCTGGTGGTTCAAACTCACCAATTGCTACATGGTCGCTGTGAGTCAGAACTGATTCAACAGCACTTAACATCTACACCACCTAATCAGCTTGTAGCCAATGAGTCTAGTCCCATTCATGGGAACCCTATGGAGGAAAGCAGAATTATTCTTTAAGCTCTCTGAGACTAAAAACACTTATGGGAGCAGAGAGCTTCATTCTCTCCACCCTCCCCTCTCCCCGCTAGGAGCAGCTGGTAGACTCTAACTGTTGTACACTTTTGTTTAACAACCCAATGCTTAACACATGGAGTCACTAGAGCTCCCTGAAATTCCTCTTATCTTTCTTTAAAATTGTTGCTGTTAAGTGCTGGTGAGTTGGTTACCACTCATAGCAACCCTGTATAGGGTTTTTGGGGAGCAGTTGCCAACCTTGAGGATTTAAACCAAACTTTCTGTCCAGTGCTTATCCTACAGCGCCATACCAGGACTTCTTTAAAGTTATCCTTGTTGTTATTTTTGTTGTTTAGTGCCAGCAAGTTGATTCCAACCCATAGCCACCCCGTATAAGGTTTCCAAGGAGCAGCTGGTGAGCGTAAACCACCGAATTTGCAGTTCAAATGACTTTGCAGTCTGATGCATTAGCCCACAGCGCCACACATATCTGAGCAATATAAGTTCAGACTGAGTATCCTCCTTCATGTATGGATCACAACTAAAGACAAAAACCTAGGTTTGCTAACTAATTTGCATATGTTTAGATTGTTGTTAAGCACTGACCCCTAGTGACTCTATATAGGGTTTCCAGGAGTGGCTGGAGAGCTTGAACCACCCACCTTGAGGTTCAAACTGGCTTTGCAGTCCAGTGCATTAACTCACAGCACCACACCAGACCCTGTATAGGGTTTCAGAGAAGTGAATTTTGTCAAAGCATTCCTAAGACTTGGACTCAGACCATGCCTCCAAGGAAAACTAAGGTTGGTGATTTGAGTCACACCCTCTAGTAAAGTGGGGCCATTTTTAGTCCTTGGTCCACCCTTAATTCTTACTCCTTATTGTTATTATTGTTATTATGTGCCTTCCAGTCAGTTCCAACTCACCTGGTATAGGGTTTCAAACCAACACTGACCTTGAAGTTAGCAGTGCAGTGCTTTTCCTACAGCAGCACACCAGGACTCCACCTTTGTTGTATTGTTGTGAAGTGCCGAGTCAGTTCCGACCCATAGTGACCCTGTGTAGGGTTTCCAAGGAGCAGCTAGTGAGCTTGAACCACCGACTTTGCAGTTCAAATGGCTTTGCAGTCTGGCACATTAACCCACAGTGTCACACCAGGACTCCGCCTTAGGAGCACCTTAAACCTTACTCCTCAGTTCCACCTTAATCCTGTTGTTGTTCGGTTCCATTGAGTGGATACCTACTCATCGCAACCCTATGCACAACAGAAAGAAACACTGCTTAATCTTGGGCCAACCTCACAATTGTTGGTTCTGACTCATACCGATCCTGTATAGGGTTTCCAAGGAGCAACTGGTGGGTTTGAACTGCCGATCTTGTGGTTCACAATCCAGTGCTAATCCTACAGCACCGCATCAGAAATCTATATGTTGTTAAGTGCCACGGAGTCGGTTCCAACTCATAGTGACCCTGTATAGGGTTTCTGAGGTACAACTGTTGAGTTTGCACCACCGATTGCATTAGCCTTGCAGTTTAGAGCATTAGCCCACAGCACCACACCAAGAGTCTATACAGCACTGTTAAATGACTCAAGTTTTCTGATTAGCAAAATGATGTTTAAGGGTGGCATATAGGGGGTAAGGGCGATTTTAAAATCATTGAGGCACAGTGGTTAAGTGCTTGGTTGCTAAACAAAGGGTTAGAGGTTCAAATCTACCAGCTGAAGGAGAGATATGTGGCTGGAGTGGCGCTGTGGGTTAATGCACCAGGCTACAAAGCAGTTCAAACTGCAAGGTCGGCGGTTCAAGCTCACCAGCTGCTCCTCGGAGACCCTATACAGGACCGTTATGGATTGACTCCACTTAACAACAACAATCCCATAAAGATAACACCCTTGGAATTCCTATGGAGCAGTATCACTCCGTCCTAGTCCTATAGGGTCGCTATAAATCAAAATCAACTTCCCAGCAGTGGGTTGGGTGGGTCACTTTACAGCTGTATGGGGTCTTGTTTCCTGTTGACTTTGTTGCTGTTGTTAGCTGCCTTGGAGTTGGCTCTTGACTCTTGGGAATCTCATACTCATACACAACTGCTTCCAGTCTCATAATAAGCCTATCAGAGAGTGTGTGGCTGGCTCTCCTAAGCAGACCAGCTGGTCTGGAAGCTCTACTGAAACCTGTTCAGTGTCATAACGATGTGCCATCTGCCACAGACAGAGAGGAGGTGCTGCTCATGAGATGCACTGGATAGGAGAGCATCCTACCACAAAACCATCAATGCCTTCCTGTTAACTTTACAGCTGACATTATCCAAACGTGGTATGCCAGCAGGCTATATGGCCAGGTAAACTTTTTCTCATTCTAGGTTAATTTTTATTTTCTCATCTACAAGCCCCTTCCCACCCTCCTCCCCGACATCCAGAACGAAGTAATTTCAACGATTTTCTCTTGCACTTCCCCTGACCCCAACTAATCACTCTGTTTACTTTTATTGCTATTGGAAAATGTTCACTTCCTTGGGTGGTGAGTCCATGCAGGCAGGGCTTGTCTGCCTCCTTTACTGGGGAACCCTCATACACTAGGGTGGGACCAGTTGTGGCCCTCCAGGACAAAGCTGTTATTCTCAAAGGCCAGGTGAGAGGGGGAATTTCTACTATAGCACCTCCTCTAACTTGCCCTCCTGCAGAAGGTCCAGATTGCCTGCCTTCATCGCAGCGGGGGCAGACTGGATGGAGAGGAGGTCATGTCACATACACCCTGAGGTCCGGGCACAAGATTCTGAAAATGTTGAGCCTCAAGGGCTTGTAGGTATACCCTCGTTCCCCACACAAAGCCTTCCAACACTGGGCAATCTATCTCAAAGTTCACACAAAGTACTTCTGTACAGCAGATGTCCATCTGCGTCTGTCTATTTAAAGAGGAATAAATCAAGAGCAATGACAGATTATCTTAAATGAACCTTGGCAATTTGCCATAAAATAATTGCAATAAACATCTTATTTGGACATCATTAGAGGTGTTTTAAGGCCATAATATCTTCAGGAATTAGAAGTAGCTTAGTTAGAATCATCTTGTCTATTCCTCTCATGTCACATAAGAGAAATAACACTCAGAAAGGTTAATTAACCTGGCCTAGGTCACACAGCCTTCAGAGCTAATTCAGCTCCATTAAGTCTCCTGGGGACTGTGGGCATGAGAATCTTTGTTTCCTTCCTCCTTGCAGAGATTTTAATCATTTCTTTCCTTGTCCTGACAAGCAGTCCCACGCCCCGTGGTTTTGTGCCTCAAAAGATTACATCGAATTCCTTAACTTGTTTTGCTTTTCCATCCCGAAGGCCCTCAGCTTTCCTTTTAGTTAAAAAAAAAAAGTAGATTATCTGGTCTGGGCCAGCTGGCCTGCCCTGCAGGTGGGCGGTCCTTCGGGTTGGGGCGAGGTTGCCCAGAAAACAGCTGACTCCAGTGTTCATGTGACCGCCCAGCTCTGTATTTCGCTCCTTGTCCTGTGCTGGGGTGGACGCTTCCAGAGACCCCTTCCGTGAGACACCCCCCTCACCCCCCTCCGAAACTGCTGGGTCACACTAGCTGAAGTGTGCTTGAAGTTTCTATTCACCCCAGGCTCAGGTAGATTAGTGGCTCAGCCCTCTGCACTTGTCCAGGATTGGCCTCAGGCTGTCTGGCTGTCTGTCCCGCCCATACTTACCCCCTCCTCCTTCCTCCCTCTCCCAGAGGAAGACAGCTCTGCCCTTCCTTCCTCTGTTCTTTGGTCTGCCTGTCCCCTTACAAAAGACCTTTCCCCCTTTCTCTCTGCTGAGTTTGCAGCTGCCAGGCGTGGAAGATTAATCAGTGTCAGGAAGTGGCCTCTTGTAGAGCAGTGACCCGCTGTGGTCGGTAGAGTCTCCGAAAGGCCAGCATAGGATTCTGCCTGCTGCCTGTTGTCCGCTGCTGGCCACCTGCTCTGGCCATGGGGTGTCTTGGGGCCCTCCTCTTCTTGCTGGGCAGCCTGGGAGCTCTTGCCCAGCGCTGTGGTGAGTAACCTTTTACCATGTGCTCTTTCCTCTCAGGTCTTTATGAGGGAAAACTCCTGTGTCCATCTCATTATATATCTGGGGAAACTGAGGCCTAGAGGTAGGAAGGAGAAGGGGTTCCTCTGCCCCCCAGGTATCCCCAGCAGTTTGGGCTTAGATGGACCTCAGCGACCACTACCTTCCATTGAGTGGAATCAGGTCTGACTCTCCACCAGGCCGGATGTCCTTCACACATCCAGTTGTACGTTCACTGAACGTGCAGTTATGGGGGCCTTCTCAGTGGCAGGCCTTTGAGGAAGGAGCAGAGAACAAGACAAGACCAATCCCTGCTCTCCTGGGTCTTCCATTCTAGTGAAGCAGACAGACATATCAGGGACACGTCCATGTGCACTGGGAGGTTGTGGAGAGTACCACAGAGAAACCTGGTCAGGCTTGGAGGCAGAGGTTCAAGGAAGGGTTAGGGAAGAATCTCTGAGAACCAGGCAATATGGGAGCTGATATGGAGAAAAGCAGTGGGGATAACATCCCAGGCAGGGTTGTACAGAGGTCCTGTGGGCAGCAGGGCTCTAGAATGGCATTTGGGTTCTGTTCCATGCGCGGCACAGAGGGAAGGGGGCCCAGCTGCTTGGACTTTGGGTCCCCAGCGCCAGGCTGAGTACCTGCCCTCACATTCTTCACATAGGTCTATGCTCTGTGTCCTAGGGGTTGTCATCTTCAGGTGCCAACGAAGCAGTAAGAGGTCAGAGGGCAGTGTTATTGGGAATTTGCTAGACTCAGTTCTCGGAACTGTTCCACTTGTGAGAAACATCAATATTGACAAATGCTCAAGAAATACAATCTGTACTCATTTTAGTGAAAATGAGGTTTTTGTTATTCGATTTTGCAAAATCAAGCGCCCAACTCAGTAGACATGAGCCGTCGGGCCTCATGGTTGGCCTGCCAAGAGTTTTATTCCCCTGTCTCTAAAAAGCCCCTCCTCCAGTTTCCCTTTTACTGGGCACTATAAAGTTTTATAATGTACCACAAACGTCCGGTTTACCCTCCCCCCAATTCCATAATCTAGCCTGAATGGTGTCCATGGTCTTAATGACTGTATTCTTAGTTAAAGTTCCTAGTCCTAGAACAGATTTTTTTCCCCCGTTTACCTCAATTCACCTTGCTTACATATCCCTGGGTGTTGTTAATCAACAACCTATGTCTGGTCAAGCAATCTCATGTGCCCTTTATTCCTTAAGATGGACCATTTTGAGAATTTTTCACACATTGGCTCTCTCAGACCCCTGAGCCCAAGACCCTTGGTTCCTGTCTAGACATGTCCCAGAGGAGATCTGGGTTCTGTTACCCAGAACTTCCTCTCTAGCCTGCTTACCCACCAGGTACGTCCTCACCCTCACTGGATGTGAGCCTTCACAAGACCCCATTTCTGGGGCTCAGGGTGCATCCCACCAGTGTTGGGCCATTTCATTTCCTCACCTCCCAGCCTCTCCCTCGGCACCTACTTCCTGTGCTTGAAGCTCTGTACTGCCACCCATCGACTAAAAATTGCTACTCTTGCCCTTATACAAGCTTGACTCCCTGTGCTCCTGAATCTAAAGTCCCAGGGGAGGAAGCTAGGCAAGGTCGCATTTATTACCCTTAAGGCGTCCGGATGGCACAGTAGTTAAGTGCTCAGCAGCAAATCCACCAGCTGCTCCGGGGAATAAAGTTGTGGCAGTCTGCTTCCATAAAGCTTACCCAATACCATGGAGCCAATCCTGACTCATAGCGAGTGTGTACGGCTGAGTAGAGCTGTTCTTTATGGTTTCCCAGGCTGTGTAAGTCTTTATGTAAGCAGACAGCCTCATCTTTCTTCAGAGGAGCAGCTGGTAGGTTTGAACCACTAACTTTGTGATTAGTAGCCTATCATTTATCCTACTGCACCACTAAGACACCTTCCATAAAGATGACAGCCGTGGAAACCCCATGGGGCAGTTCTACTCTGTCTTACAGGGTCGCTATGAATGAGAATGGGCTCCTAGGCCCTGAATTTGGAACCTGCCAGGCTCGGTCTCAGGTGGGTGAATGGCTGTTATCAGCAGCATGTTATCTGATCACCTGTCACCCTGGTGCTGACTCACCTGATAGAAGAGGCTGTTGTGGGGTGGGGGTGGGGCTCCGTCACCAGTTTAAGGAAAAACCAAACCAAACCAGTTGCTTTCTAGTCATTTCCATTCTTGGTGACTCTATGTGTGTCAGAACAGTTCTCCACAGGGTTTCCAACAGCTGATTTTTGGGAAATGAATCATCTTATCTTTCTACTGAGATACCTCTAGGTGGACTTGAATTTCCAACCTTACACTTAACTATCTGCACCATCCAGGGAAGGAGAAAGAATGAGACATGTGACTCAAGAGAGAGTCTGCGCGATATAGAGAGTGAGACAGACTCAGAGATAGAGAAATATGGACAGAGTTGGAGATAAACAGAGGCCCTGAGCAAAAGGGAGAGAACAGCAGCTCCAGCTCATTATGTGATGAGAAAGTAAGGCACCTCCTCTGACTTGGGCTCACATAAAACCAAAACACCAAACATGTTGCTGATGAGGAGATCCCTATACCCTAGGTGGAGCTTGGTGACTAAAGGTTGACAGTTTGAACCCACTCAGTAGTTACCGTGGAAGAAGGTGTGGTGATCTGCTTCTGTAAAGGTTACAGCCAATAGGAGCGGAGGTCCTTGGAACCATGAAGGGAGAAGAGCGGAGAGCAGAACCCTACCCAGAGAAGCTGCAATCCCCAAGATGGAGGCAGAGATGATAACGTGGAGAGATGGAGTTGCTGGGGACTCGGGACCCAGGGAGGGACAGGGCTTGTGTGCTGACAACCGGGGGTGGGGGGTGGGGCAGCAGACTTGTAGAATGTACCCTTTCGTTGATTGGTAATGTGTGGAGGGGATTGTAACCATGGCAATGAAACAATATATGATAGGATGAATGTAAAACAAATGTTCTCCCATATACTCATGTAAACTATCATATAATTCACAATAAAACTTTACTAAAAAAAAAAAAAAAAGATTACAGCCAAGAAAACTGGGGGCAGTTCTACTCTGTAACACACAGGGTCGCCCTGAGTTGGGCCCACATAGCTAAGAATTATTTAAGGTTTCCACACTAGTGGGTAATCATGTCCTACCAATAGGCATCTATGACTTTTGAGAAAATAGGCTTGAAGTGGTGGGCTGTGAGTCGGGAACCCTGCTCCTTGTGTCAGGGGCCCTGCAGACCAGCAAGTTGCCTTGTGTAGCAGTTTCTTGGCTTAGTCTTATAAGAGAGGGGGCCTGCCAAGTGACTTGGAGTATGGCAGAGTGGAGTTCCCCTCCGGGCATCTGGAGCTAGCAGCAGTGAATGGGTTAAAAAAAAAAATTGGGCTGGAAAATCTGAAGTGCTTTCCTCAGGGGAACATCCCTGAGGCCCCTGCTTTCAGCACATTCCAGTATATTGGTTGCATGCTTCAAATATATTGCAAAGCACCAAGATAAACTATTAGAAAGACAGAAACACCTTCATAACAACACACCTCACCATCTTGGGTCCTTCTTTGCATAAGCAGAAATGGCAAGAAAAGTATGATTTTGAGATCTGCACAGAGAAAGCATACCAGGTAGCCCAGGTAACAAATGGATATCTGCAGAATTTTAAAGTTTGATGCCTAATGCCTTTGGGTGCGGGCTAAAGTTTTTATAAACAGGTGGGATACACCTTCAGTCAAGTAGCAAAGAGAGGGGGCTTTGGAGTTAGGTTCATGCTTGGCTCCATCCTTGCAAAAGACAAGACATAAACTCAAACTTCTGCTCCTTCTTTTGAGCAAAGTGTAGCCCATATGACAGGGTGTTGTGAGGATTGAGTGAGATCAGCTGTGGTATGGGGCATGCAGAGAGCTTGGGCCTCAGGTCTCCTTGTCATTCCTAATGGGTTGCCTGGCAACAGTCAGTGGAAGGTGGTGCTACCTCTCTTCCACTTCTGCTCAACGCTCATTTGGGATACCTGTCCCATCCCTCCCCCTTTCCCACCGCCTTTCAGAATGATTAGGTAATACAATATTTCCCCATGAAAATGTGTGTGTAGGAGGGTTAGGGTGGGGGTGAGGACTGGATAGAGGTAAAAGTAGGGTGTTCATTTCCTGGGGAAGGCCCCAGTAAGGTAGAAGAATTTCTTTGGTGGTGGCCTGGCCCTGATACTTCACTTGTCCCATTCTTGTTCCTAAGAAATGCCAGAGGTGGACAGCAAGATAGTGGAGATGTTGGGCCAGCGCCTCTTGCCCTGGATGGACCAACTTTCCCTGGAGCAGCTGAATCCCAGCATCTATGTGGGTCTTCGCCTCTCCAGTCTGCAGGCCGAGACAAAGGAAGCCCTCTACCTGCACAGCCTCAAGCTCCATTACCAGCAGAGTCTCCTGGGGTACCACCATGCCCTCTCTTCCCCTTCCTTCGTGTATTTTGTTACTTCCTAAGTGACAGGAGATCTGATTCTGGACCAGGCCTATTGTTTGCTTAGGCATTATGTCTCTTCTGGGCCTTTCTCTGGCTAGACTAGACCAGAGATGTTAATTCAAGGCCCATGTGCTACTAGTGTGCCCTCCTGTGCCTGGACAGACATTATTAATCCATGACTGTAATCTTTTATACTGAACCCAGAAGCATCAGTTGACTCTGTGTTCCCTTCCCAGGGCATGTGAGAGAGGCTTATTCTTGGCATTAGTGAAGGAATCTGGCAGTGCTTGGGGCAGGGAGAAGAGAGAAAAGGGAGAGCCTTTACATGACCCAGGACCAAAAATAGTGGGGTGGACTCAGCTCATTGGTTGGGAGAGGCCTCAGGGTTTGTCCCTAAAGCTTTAATTTTATGAAATATTTATTTAGACCTTACCATTTACATAGCTAACTACATCTACTTTAATGGTTCTAGCAATGAAGTTTTCCACTTTGAGATATTGGCTCCTTCTCATGGTGGTGTTGTTAACTGGCCTCATTTTAGGTCTGCTTCCAGTGGTGGTGATAATGATGACTCCCAGGCCAAACCTTCCATGGGTCAGCTGGCCCTCTACCTGCTTGCTCTCAAAGCCAACTGCGAGTTCGTTGGGGGCCATAAGGGGGACAGGCTAGTCTCCCAGCTCAAGAGATTCCTGGAGGATGAGAAGAGAGCCATTGGTGAGGGGCCAGGGAGCAGCTGGCAGGGCTCATCAAGTGATAATCTCTGAGGAAGAATCTACCCTGTGCTTGGCTTCAGACATCCAGTGTCTAGGGGTCAGCTAGCTCCACATGGAGACCCCACAAGCATCTTAAACCAAACATGTCAGAACTTGGGGTATTCTCTCCAGGCCCTTTCCCGCATTTTCTTTCTGGTTCCAGAGCCTTGATCCATCTTTTCCTGTACTCCCTATATACATTCTTGGCTGCTTAGCCACCAACATAGACCTGCCTTTGCCCAGCTTCTGCAAAAACTACACAACCTGTTTACTTGCCTGTCTACTTCCTTCATGGCCTTTCTGCATAATAGAAGAACATTTAAAATATAAATCTGTTCTTGTTAGCCACCACTTACGTCCCACATGGGTTCCTTATAGCTCTTTTTCTGACTTGCAAGCCTTTATCTTCCCTTCAAGCTCAGCTTACCATTCTCCTGCCTTTCCCCTTCCATGGGCTTCCATCCTGTCAGCCTTCTCTCAGCTACAAACCTGGCTCCTTCTTCCACAGGCACTTCCTGAGCATTCCTTCTGCCTGCAGTGGCTTCTTCCCTCCCTGCTTGTCCACTATTGCTCCCTCTTCAGCTCTCCCTTCCCCTCCCGAGTGCCACTTCCACACAGAATCCTGTTCTAACTCCCTGGCTCATCACATCTCTTTGCCATGGGTCCTGTGGCCCAGAGTCCCAATGTCATTGTAATTGTGCTCTCGTGAGCGTGAATTGTCACACACCTACATCTGCTCAGTGCCTTTCCTGTCCTCTCCTCACTGGCCCAACCCTGAACATGGTGAGATCTCATGAATGTGGGCTGAGGGAGTGAAGACACAAAGGCTGCCAAATGAGGGTTTGGGGAAGGGCAGGCAGTGGAGGTCTGCGGCAGGTGGGGAGCTGTGGGAAGAAGAAAGGCCCAGTGTGGCACCCTGTCCTGTGATTTTCTCCCTCCCAGGGCATGATCACAAAGGCCACCCTCACACCAGCTACTACCAGTATGGCCTGGCCATACTGGCCCTGTGTGTCCACCAGAAGCGGGTCCATGAGAGCGTAGTGGGCAAGCTCCTTCATGCCGTGGAGCACGACAGACCTGTGCACCAGGGCCACCTCTCTGTGGGTAAGTGGACGACACTAGGGCCAGGCAAGCACTCCTCAGCCTTAGGTCTGCTTACTCACTTTTCCTTGGGAACTCTCCTCATCAAGTAGCAAGATGGCCCATCCCAAGCTAGGTTTTGATGCAGTGGCTGAGAGTCAACGTGAGAGCCAAGCCAGGTCATCTTAAATTGTAGGACACTGGGCAAGTCAGGGGGCCTTTCTGACTCAGTTTCTCCTTCCATAACATAATTGCCTAGCAGCATCTTGTTAAAGGAGGTCTTAGAAGTAAAGGTTGACGTTGTTGTTGTTGTTAAGTGCCGTTGAGTCGGTTCCAACCCATAGCGACCCTGTATAGGATTTCTGAGGAGCAGCTGGTGAGCTTGAACCACCGACCTTGCAGTTCAAACGGCTTTACAGTCTGGCACATTAACCCATAGCGCCACACCAGGATTCCACAGGTTCATTTCCTAGATGTGCAGCCCAGCCTATCTGTCGGTGGAGGCTTGTATGTTGTTAGGATGCTGAAAGGGGTTCAGCAGGGCTTCCAGACTAACAGAGACTAGCAAGAAAGGACAAGTTATCTCCTTCTGAAAATCAGCCAATGAAAACCGTATGCATCCCATTTTGGGGAGAACACAGGACTGGGCAGCTTGTGCTCTCTTGTGCATGGGGTCAACATGAGTCTGGGGCCGACCCGATAATAACTAACAACAATAAGATCAGTAAAGGGCTTAGCACAGTGTTTGGCATGGAGAAAGTTCTAGAAACATAACTGTGATCTCATGGGAAGCCTGAGGCCTGGATTTTGCATCTGCTTCCTTATGTGTGACCTTGGACATTTGCTTCTGTAACTTGTCATTGTCTTTCAAGGGATCTCCTAGGGATGGCATTCTGTGAGTGAGAGTGGACCTCACATAGGGTGGGGGGAAGACAGTAGGTTGGGAACAGATGGGTGCCCAGAGAAAAAGGTACCAAGGTCTCTGCAATTAGGGACTTGTTCTTCATCTCACCCACTGCCATTGAGTTGATTCTGATTCATAACATCCCTCGAGGACAAAGTGGAACTGCTCTGTAGGGTTTCCAAGGCTGAAAATCTTTCCTGAAGCAGACTGCTTCATCTTTCTCCCATGGACTCGCTGGTGGGGTCAAACTGCCAACCTTTTAATTAGTAGCCTAGTATTTAACCCACGATGCCACCCGCGGTCCTTAAAATTCACTGGAGGGCTTTTAAAACCCCAGTGCCCAGGCAGCACTCTGGGCTAGTTCCATCAGACCAGCTAGGGGTGAGATCAGTGGTGATTACAAAGTCAGGTTTGAGAACTAGTGGTATAGTATAAAACAGGGCTTCAAACCAGTTCTTCCCAGTTCAGTTGTGGCTGATGAATCCCAAACAGAATGACCCAGATTTGTAAAATATGGGTGAACCAGCACCATAACCAAAACAGGAAAAATGATAGGTCAACACTCTTGCCAGAAACTTCATCTCCCTCTTAGAAAACAAGGGCAGCATGTATGTTGCATAGCAACTAGATTTCTTGAATGACAGAGTCAGAAACAGTGGTGCCCTGCTCAAAGATGGTGGTCGACCATGCTGCTTTGAGTGTGTGTGTGTTACTCTCGGTCATTCTGGCAAGAATCCAATCTTCTGCATCAGGCCACTGAAAGGGCTCACTAAATGTCTTCCAAGTCTCTCATCCTAAGGCTCCAACTTGTAATTTTTCCCATTCCGGTTTTTGTTCTACTTCAACCAAATTTTAAGAATTCAAATCTGTTCCAGTTTTGCTGCATTGGCCCTAACTGAAGACGTTTGAACCTGTTCAAAGCCCTGGGATAAAGTCCTCTTGAGCCTCATTCCTGCAGCCAATTTCCTAACGTCTTAACCCCAGGCAGTAGTCAATGGTAGGATGACCAACCATCCCAGTTTACCCAGAATCAAGGTGTTTTCCGAACACAGGACAATTAATGCCCAAATTGGAAAATCCTGGACAGAGATGGCCACCCTAGCTGGTAGAAGATTTCTCAAATACTCATCTGACCAGGCTGCCTCCCTTCTCCAAACTCCCCAGTACCCCAAAGGCCCTGCCTTTCCTGGCCACACTTAGCTTCTGGCTGATCACATGTCCTGTCCCTGCAGACACAGCAGCCATGGCAGGCTTGGCCTTCACCTGTCTGAAACGCTCCAACCTCAACCCTGATCAGAGAGAACGGATCATCCTGGCCATCGGAACAGTGCAGGAGAAGATCCTGAGGTCCCAGACACCTGAGGGCCACTTTGGGAGTGTCTACAGCACTCCACTGGCTCTGCAGGTGAGAAAGAAGCCCTGGAGCCCTGTGGGAGTTGGTAGGGAGTGGGCTGATCAGGAGCTGGAAGACCCTGTTCCTCACTGCTGTCTGACTAGCCCTCTCCCTCTCTTCCTCACTCTGTGACAGTTGCTGATGACTTCTTCTATGCCTGGGGTGGAGCTGAGGTCTGTGTGCTACAAGGCGAGGACTGCCTTGCTGACCAGCTTGCAGAATGAGGCCTTCCAGAATGCTCTCATGATTTCCCAACTGCTGCCTGCCCTGAACCACAAGAGCTATGTGGATCTCATCTCCCCAGACTGCCTGGCACCAAGAGGTAGTAGAAAAACCCAGCTCCTTTCAGCCTGCTGAGCAGCTATTGAAATTGACCATCTCACTGAGGAGAGGTTTTTAAGTCCAGATTTGCCAAGTCAACAGGCATTTGTGGGTGTGCAAGGATGCACTGTCAGCTAAGATGTGGCTACTGCTTTTAGAAGCTAACAGTGTAGAGGAGGGAAACAGAGAGCTTAGAGTGGGCTGAAACCATGAATCTTTAGCCCCTTATGTGGTATACAGCTCAGAAGTGTTTGAGTGGATGAATGAAGGGAAGAAAGGAAGGAAAGACTGGGAAATATCTCAGTTCCCAAGTCTTGTTGTAACACAGGCACTACAAGTGGATGACTAAAGAAAAGGAATTTATTGTCTCACAATTTTGGAGTCCAGAGTTCAAATCAGGATATCGGCTTTAGGGGATGATCCTTCCTTGTTGGTAGCCTTGACAATTCCTTGCTGTTCCTTGGCATCTGTCTCTCCCATGTGTCTATCTGTGTCTACTCTGTTCATTTTTAAAGACGCCATTCAGAAGTGATTAGGTTTAGGACCCAGTCTGCTCCTGTATGACCTCATTCACATACCAAAGGAAAGCTGTATTTAAATATAGTCATACTTACAGGTATAAGACTTAGGACATGCACATTTCTTTTGGGGGGATACAATTCAATCTGTAATAGGGAGACTCGTTTGCTCTGATACATGATGAGCCCCAACCAGCAGCAGGAACCAGGGCTTCATCTGGGAGGGGGATTTGAGGAGATGAGTGGGATTTTTCAGTGGAGAAGGAAGAAGGAAAGGCTGAGCAGAGAGGAAACAGCAAGAACAAAGACACAGGGGTGTATAAGACTAGAGTTTGTGGGGAAGGGTCCTGCTAAAGAGAGAGAACTCGGAGAATGAATGAAAAGGAGGAGGACCTTCCAAAGCAACAGGGGAGTGATAGCAACGAACACGTTCTAGAAAGAACCCTCGGAGAGGCTATGAGGCAGATAGATAGAAGGGGTTACTGAAAGTAGAGAAACCCGTGAGGGGCTGAAACTTCGTGGGCTGGGATGTAGGGGCTAAGGGACAGAGAAGGTTAAGATGGCAGCCAGGTTTGGGCTGTGTAGGGGTGGTGGTAGGTGAGATGGCAACATGAGAAGATCCTATTTGGCACTGTGTCTTTGAGGGAAGAAAGGAAGACTAACCTCCAGTGACCAGCCTCACACCAGTTACCTCTTTCTCTCTCCCTGGCACAGCCATACTAGAACCAGCTTTTGAGACCCCTTCAGACACCCAAGCCCCAGAGGTCATCAGGGTCATGTTGATGGTCTCCAGTGTGTTGCCGCCGTACCACAACTCCATCCCTGTCCCTGCTGGGTCCTCCTTGGAGGATGTCCTGAAGAAGGCCCAGGAGCTAGGAGGATTCACGTAAGATCCTCCACCCCCATCCCTCACTACGAAGAAAGAAAGTTCTAGGAGGGCCAGGGAAGGGAGAAGTTTCCTTCTGGAGAAGAACAGGTCCAGGTTCTCCATTCCTGACACACCCGCAGGTTGCAGGTGAAACTGGGTCAACACTGTGCTGGAGAGCAGGCTCGGGAAAGCCAGCTCTTACATTGGATCTCAGCTGTGCTGATTTACAATTCAGGACCCAGACAAGTTATTTAACTGTATGTAACTCAGGGGCACTAATTGTGTTTTCCTCATAGGACATATGTAGGAGTCCAGGATGTATGTGTATATACATATTTATGTATATACATATGTGTGTGGATATGTGGTGATATATACATGTATATAAGCATATATGTGTGTGAATGAAACCCATGTGAAATTGATCACTATAGATATACAGTATGTACAGATATATAAGTATAAAAATGGCCTGCTGTAGACATCTGACCTGCTGTAACTTTGCAACAGTAGAGGAGAGACAAGATCAACAGCCCAAGGCTGACTCCTGTGAGGCGAAGGTCAGACATGCCTCCTCTTGCCCAACTTTTTACCACTTTTGACACCGACCATCATCTCATGACACTTCTCTGCTGGGGGAGATAAGTCATCGCATAGAATTCACAGACCATACTCACAATTGTGGGGTTTATCAGGGAAGTAATAAACCTCATAATCAACCCCATCATTTAATAAGAAGGTTACAATTCAGAATAAAAAACAATTCAGGATACAGTTCAGACATGTCCACTGGCAGGCCGCCTTCTGGCCCTTGGCTCCCTCTGCTTGGCCACTGCCCTGCTCAGGCAAGTGTTACAAAGCTCTTTAGCTCTGCCAGGAAGTATCTAGAGGTACCCTACTCTGCCAGGAAACTTTCTGCCAGAAGGTACTCAGCTCTTTCCTTCTGTGGATGCACACACCCACCCCACCCCACCATCTCCGGCCATTCTCTTGGTCTTGTTGCCATTTCTTTGCCACCACTTGGCATCATCTTTGGTGTTACATCCTTCTCTCTCTGGAGGCTCCTAGCGCAGGGACTCTAGGTCTAAAGGATGTGTTCCACTTTTGGTTCTTCTTTCTTGATGGTTGTGAGGTCTCCTCTGCCTGCCTCCAGAATGCCTCATATTAAGCCTAGCACGAAGCCATATACCTTATTTATATGGTCCCACCCCTATTGGGGAGTCCTGGTGTGGCACTGTGGGCTAATGCGTCAGACTGCAAAGTCATTGGAACTGCAAGGTCAGTGGTTCAAGCTCACCAGCTGCTCTTTGGAAACCCTATACAGGGCCTTTATGGGACGGAATTGACTCAACAGCACTTAACAACAACAACCCCTATAGAGTGCCATATACATTATTTGCAGGGTCCTATGCCCACAAGGTGCTGTGCACCTTATTTACATTATTAGCAAGCTATCCAATCTCCTTGGTGGCCCACACGTATCTCATTTCACAGTCCCATCCAATTATATGGGAGTTATAAGACCATGTCTAGAAAGACCATGTAAAAGTGATCTATTGTACCATACTAAGTAAGTCTGTGTTTACTTTCCTTATTGGGTAATCTATCCCTAGGCTATACATATATGGATAAGTGTGGACATGCATGTATGTATGGATATGGATAAGTATGGGTCTGTAAAAGTCAAGGAGTTAGTGATGTAGAGGAAGTGGTTCAGGAATTACATATGTGCCGAGTTCAGCACATAGTAGGCTCTTAGTGCACGTTAGCTTTTATGATAATAAGATTTTCATTATCAAATAAGCTTAGTCCAATCCCTGTTAGTAATTATACTGCTCAAGCCCTTGTAAAATGTGGAGCTTGGACAATAGACTTAAACTTCCTTGTGATACCGAGATTTTATGAGCATGAGGATAAGCAGTCCTGGAGCACTGTTCCATAGCAGGCCCTGTCCTTTTCCACTGACCCACACATCCATAGCTTCATAATACACAAGTCATAATACTCATCTCCAGACCTCCACACGTCCACACATCCATGAAACCTAAGTCATACTACTCATCTCTGTATATCCACACATCCATGATGCACATGTCATAATAGTCATCTCCATTCATCCACTCATAGCAATTTACAGCAGCAGAAAGCTCCTCTTTCTCCTATGGAGCACTTGGTGGATTACAACTGCTGACCTTGTGGTTAGCAGCCCAATGCATAAATATACATGAACGTGTGTATGTGCATCCACCTGTACACACACCCATGTATGTTTATGCATATGCACACACATACACACATATCCATGTGTGATACACACATACTCACATTTCCCCACAATAATACATGTACATGCATACATACATACATACATACGTACATACATATATATGTGTATATACATATATAGAAGATCATAGAATAGATACATTTGCGTTATGGTGTTAAAGAAGAATAGTGAAAGTACCATGGTCTGCCAGAAGAACCAACAAATCTGTCTTAGAAGAAGTATAGCCAGAATGTTACTTAGATGCAAAGATGGTGAGACTTGGTCTCTCATACTTCAGAAATGTTATCAGGATCAACCAGTCCCTGGAGAAGAACATCCTACTTGGGAAAGTGGAGGGTTAACAATCAAGAGGAAGACCCCCAACAAGATGGATTGGCACAATGACAGCAGCAATAGGCTTAAATGTAACAGCATTATGACATTGGTACAGGGCCCAGCAGTGTTTCATTCTGTTGTCCATAGTTTCGCTGAGTCAGAACCAACTTGATGGTACCTAACAGCAACAACACCATATGTATATTTATTATACACATGTACTGTACACATTCATGAACGCATGCATATCCACTTGTGCATGTACACACCCACTGTTACACACATGCCCAGACACATGGCACTCATACATGGATGTTTTTGCACAGTACCCAACCATGCATATTATACATATTATACACATATACAAGTCATCCAGAAATAAAGCAGGTGTAACTCTCATGTCACGAATAGGGAAGCTGTGCATTTTTCCCCAGACTCCACGCTTCTCCCCTGGAATGATGTGACTCAGTTTAAGAGGACCCCAATTTCTGTTCCCAACCTAAGTCCCCAGAGAGCAACCTTCTGCGGTCAGGGAGGACGCACAGCTGGCACCTTGGGGACATCTGATTAAGGGTACCTCAGATTGCAGAGATGCAAAGACTCCTCCCCCTTGACAAAAATTCAGAGTAGTGATGGCTCAGTGGTAAAAGTCTCGCCTTCCCTGCGGGAGACTCGGGTTTGATCTTGGACCAGTGTGCCTCATGTCTGTCAGTGAAGGCTTTCGTGTTGCTGTGATGCCGAGAATGAGCCCTGGTGACATGGTAGTTAAGCACTCAGCTGCTAACCAGAAGGTCAGTAATTTGCAACCATCAGCTGTTCCACAGGAGAAAGATGTGACAATCTATTTCCATAAAGATTACAGCCTCGAAAACCCTGTGGTGCAGTTCTACTTTGTCCTAGAGGGTCTCTATAAGTATGAATTGAATTGATGGCAATTTCTTTATGATGCTGAGTAGGTTTCAGCAAGGCTTCCAGACTAAGACTAGCAAGAAAGGCCTGGTGACTTTCTTGTGAAATGAAATCCGTAGGGGTCACACCAATCTGATCCCCTTGTGCATGGGTCGCCATTGTTGTTATTAAGTGCTGTTGAGTCAGTTCCAACTCATAGTTCCAAGGAGCAGATGGTAAGTTTGAACTTCTGACTTTGTGGTTCAAACCAAACTTGCAGTCCAGTACTTTATCCTACAGCGCCATACCAGGGGTTGCCATTGTTGTTGTTGTTATGTGCCTGTGGAGTCGGTTTCGATTCATAGCAACCCTGTACAGGGTTTCCAAGGCTATAAATCTTTACAGGAGCAGAAAGCCTCATCTTTCTCCCTTAGAACAGCTGGTAATTTCGAACTGCTGACCTTAAGGTTCGCAGCCCGTTTTGTAACCACTATGCTACCAGAGCTCCTTGGGGTTGCCATTAATAAAGGCCAATTCAAGAGCCGTTAACAACAGTAACACAAGTGTTTAAAATATGCTCTGTCTCATCGCTCCTCGGTTCCTTTAAAAAAAAAAAAAAAGGCAAAAATTATGCCAGACCCCAGTGTTGTTTCTGTATGACTTGTTAAGTGCTGTTGAATCAGTTCAACCCCGTATAGGGTTTCCAAGGAGCGGCTGGTGTGTTAGAACCACCAACTATGTGGTTAGTAGTCCAGAGCTGATCCTACAGTGCCACACCAGGACTGTCTGTATGACTTAGACATATACTACTATATTACCTAGCATAAATCCCTGTCTCTTTTTAGCTCATAGACAGCTACACATCCTAAACAACTTTGCAAATTTAGTATAAAGTAAACTATAAAACGAATAAAATTACAATCAATACTGTCTGCTGAGTTTCAGGCACACACCACCTTGTACAATGTGCGAACTCAATTTACTACTTCCCTCTGAACCATTGAAAAGCCTGAACTTGTCCAGAAATTCAAACTCACTGCTGTTCAGTTGATTCTAACTCATCTTGACCCTATAGGTCAGTAGAGCTGTCCCACAGAGTCTCCAAGGCTGAAATCTTACAGAAGCAGATTGCCATATCTTTCTCCCATGGAGAGGATGATGGATTCAAACCATTGACCTTTGGATTAGCAGCAGAGCACTTAACCACGGAGCCACCAGACCGCCACTCCAGACATTTCATTTGCTACAAAGTCACTTCCATTCCCATTAACCTGCTGCACTGGGCACCAACACAGTTATAGTCAGTGAGTGACATCCACTGAATGCCCTTTGCTGGGCTCGGATCACTGCAGCTTACCCAAACCTGCTGATGTACATTTGTGAATATTCATCAAATGAAAAAAAGAAACTCCCAGATTTAACATTTTTTATTCAGAAATTGAGGACATCTCAGATGTCCAAAGATCCTAATTTGTAAAAAATAACTTCATTATTGGTGGTGGTGATGGGTAGTTAACGTTCAGTGGCCCGGCTGTGTTTCAGCAGCAATTCACAGCAGAGTTAGCTGGATTGTGGAGTGAGAATAAGAGAGATAGAAGACATGGCTTTAAACAGCCACACTGCCACCAGAATTAAGGAACAACCTAGAAATTTCCCTTTATTTATGTTACCCTGTGTGGGTTTCTATTTCTTAAAATTGAGAGTCCTTAATTTTCTCTAACACCTGAACCGTTTATAAGTCATTTGGAGAGAGAAAGGATATGATCCATGGAGTTTTAAGAGGATCTCTTTGACAGGTGGGGAACCTGGATGGTACAAGTAGTTTGCAGGCAGCTACTAACCTGAAGGTTGGTGTTTAGAATTCACCTAGCAGCTCTGTGGAAGAAAGGCCTGGCCATCTGCTTTTGTAAAGAATGTTGTTATTGCTGTAAAGTGCTGTGGCGTTGACTCTTACTTAGAACCACCCTTCCAAAACAGTATGAAACACTGCCCAGTTCTGTGCCATCCTCACAATTGTTATGCTTGAACCAATCACTGCTGCCAGATTGTTGTTGTTGAAAAGTACCATTGAGTCAGTTCCAACTCATAGCAACCCTGGATAGGGTTTCCTAGAAGCGATTGGTGAGCTTGAACCATCGAACTTGTGATTCAAACCGACCTTGCAGTCCAACGCATTAACCGGCAGTGCCACACCAGGACTCCAAGAAAATACATGGGGCAGCTTTACTTTGTAACACATGAGGTCACCGTTGAGTTGGAATTGATTTGACCCTGGCATACAGATGAATTAGAGAAAGATGGAAGTGAGAAGTTTAGGGAGGTAGGACGTGAGTCCAGAGTTCCTTGATTACAAGGGTCAGAAATCCAACTTGAGCCTTCTAGGCAATGGGGAGCTTTCTTGGCAGTGGGGAGCACAAGGTTTTTAAGAATCAGAAGAGAGACTGAGCAACCCAGTTACATGAGTCAGACATTTACAGAACCAGTAACCCAGTGCCACCACTAGGTGGCAACCTTTATCTCCCATGTCCCAGCTTCTCTGTATGTTGGCCTCACCCAGTCTCATGGGCTACTGGCATCTTGAGTGATGCCAACAGCTTCTGATTTTCACCTCCCACAATAGCAACCCCTGTGAGTTGATAACCATAATGTTTCCCTTCCTGGAGACCAAGGTCATGGTCAGCAAGAGGTAAAACCTGAATGGGTAGTGTTAGTGGGGTTGGAGAGGAGGATAAGATGGACGCCAGACTCATGTGAGACAGCCCAGGAAGAGATGGGTTAGCACTAACCTGGAGGGTGGTAGCAGGACTTTGCTGATGTGGGTGAGTGTCACTTCATTCTTTGATGGGACCAACAATCACCTCTTCTCCTTTTTTGCTATTTACTTTGGTAGGTATGGAACTCAGGCCTCCTTGTCCGGCCCCTATCTGACCTCTGTGATGGGGAAAGAGGTTGGGGAGCGGGAATTCTGGCAGCTTCTCCAAGTCCCTGACACCCCCTTGCTGCAAGGTGAGTTTGGTGGCTTGCCACCACTGGACATGTCCCTAGCCCAGCCCTGTCCCAGCAACAAAGCTTTTCCAAACTCACCCTAGCTTTCCCTGAAAAATCACTGATGCTCAAAGCTAGTATAATTTTTCAAACAGAATTCTTAGGATTTCTATGTAAGTCATTATGGAATTCCTAGAAAATCAGATAGGCAAAAAGAAAATCAGTAACTTACCCAGAAATAATTGCTCCTAACTTTTAGGTGTATTTCTTCTATATAATTTATAATATGTAAGTTTGTGTGCTTTTTCATAAAAATAGACCCAAACTCTGTATTTATACTGCCTAGTAGAAATAATATGAACTACATATGTAATTTTGGAGTTTCTAGGAGCCATACACATATACACACACAAAATCAAAGTGAAATGAATATTCATGGTATTTTCTATCTAAAATATTATCATTTAATGTGTAATAAATATAATGACATGTTTTACATGCAATACATGTTGTTGTTAAGTGCCGTTGAGTTGGTTCCCACTCATAACGACCCTGTGTAGGGTTTCCAAGGAACAGCTGGTGGATGTGAACTGCCAACTTTTCAATACATAAAGTTTATCATATTGGACAGTGCAACTTCATATACTATTTTGCAACTTACTTTTTCCCCACTGTTAATAAATATATTGTGGACATCTCTCATTGTTGGTAAATGTAGATCTCCTCCCCTGCCTTTTTTCTTTAAGCTTTTAATTGTGAATTAAGGTTTACAGAGTAGACCATCCATTTTGCATTCAACAAATCATGTACTTTGCTTCATTATGATGATTGCAGTAGCTTCCATATACCAACAGTTAACAGTATTTACCACTATTCATGTTAGCTCTGACGTTCCACCCTGTGTCTTCCACTACCTTCATCTTTCCTCTCCTAACCTCCCTCTTCTTGTATATTGCCTTCCCCATCACCCATATTAACATATGTCTACCCTTTAGCTCATGAATAACTTTCCCTTCCTTCACACCCATGGTAACCATCATAGAATGTTTCTTTTACTAAGAAAGCCTTTACTTGACTTTTTACAACATTCTTTGTAATCGCCATGTAGAATATATCATCCATTAGGGTGCATTGGGTTGCAAGTAACAGGAAATACAATGCCATTGAGCTTCAACATGAGGATACCCATTGGCTAATGTGACTGGAGATTCAGAGTTAGAGAAAGCGTCAGAGCTAATGTGACATGGTCTCCAAGCTCACTTCCCACACTCCTTTGGCTCTGTCCTTTTTGTTGACTTCACCCTTAAAGAGACCTTATCTTCCTGTGACTCTTCTCTTTTATGTCTAAGACTCCTGGTCCCTGAATCCCTCAGCCAACTCTAATATTTCAAGGGACACATGGCCATTCTTTAACTCATTCTGTTCCTAGGAGATCACCCAGGTTCTGGCTACAGTGTTGGGATTCCCACGACTGGTTTAGACCAGTCAGGACCTGCGCCTGGAATTGGGCTGTTGCACAGAGGGGTTGGGATGGATGGGCCACAGCTGGATCAACTGGTGGGCCTTTAGGGTGTTTCAGGTTTTAACTCTCCTGCCTCAAGCTCACCACTCATCTGTCAGTTTGTCGCACTGTGGTAATGTGCGTGTTGCTGTGATTCTGGAAACTACGCCACTAGTATTTTAAATGCCAGCAGGGTTGCCCATGGTGGACACGTTTCACTGAGCTTCCAGACAAAGACAGACTAGGAGGAAGGAGAGACAAACTACTTCTGAATATTTAACCACTGAAGACCTTATGAATAACAGTGGAATACTGTCAGGTAGCACTAGAATATTAAAATATGATAAAGAACACCAGAATATTGTCAGATATAATGCTGGAAGATGAAACCGTCAGGTTGAAAGGCACTCAAAATGCGACTGGGGAACAGCTGCCTCCTCAAAGTAGAGTTGACTGTGATGATGTGAATGGAATAAAGTTCTTGGGATCTTCATTTGATGATGGGGCAAAATTCAAAATGAGGAGAAACAGCTGTAAACATCCATTAATAATTGAAACATGGAATATACAAAGTGTGTATCTGGGAATATTGGAAGCTGTCAAAAATGAAATGGAACATATAAACATCAATGTTCTAGGCATTAGTGAGCTGAAATGGACTGGTGTTGGTCATTCTGAATCTGACAGCCACATGGTTTACTATGTTGGAAATGACAAATTGAAGCAGAATGGTATCTTATTCATCAAAAAGAACTTTTCAAGATCTGTCTTGAAGTACAACACTGTCTGTGATAGGATAATATTAAGAACAGATTTGGTAAATTAGACACTAATGACTGAAGACCAGAAGAGTTGTGGGATGACATCAAGAACATCATACAAGAAGGAATGAAAAAATCATTATGAATACAAGAAAGAAGGAAAAGACCAAAATGGATGTCAGAAGAGACTCTGAAACTTGCTCTCCAGCATAGAGAATCTAAAGCAAATGGAGGAAATAAGGATGTAAAAAGAGCTGAACAGAAAATTTTAAAGGGCATCTTGAGATGACAAATTAAAATACTATAATGAAATGTGCAAAGACTTGGAGTTAGGAAACCAAAAGGAAAGAACATGCTCAGCATTTCTCAAGCTGAAAGAACTGAAAAAAAAAAAAAAATTAAAGCTTTCACTTGCATTATTGAAGGATTCTATGGGCAAAATATTGAATGAACAGAAATCCTCAAAAGAAGATGGAAGGAATACATTGAGTCACTGTACCCAAAAGAAGGTAGGTAGCATATGATCCACAGCCAATGATCCTGAAGAAGAAGTCCAAGGTGCACTGAAGGCACTGGCAAAGAACAAGGCTCTGGGAATTGATGGACTACAAATAGAAATCTTTCAACAAACTGAGGCAGTACTGGAGGCACTCATGCATCTATGCCAAGAAATTTGGAAGTCAGTTATCTGATCAACTGATTGGAAGAGATCCATATTTGTGCCCATTCCTAAGAGAGGTGACCAAACAGAATGTGGAAATCATTGGGCAATATCATTAATATCTAATGCAAGTAAAATTTTGCTAGAGATAATTCAAAAATGGCTGCAGCAGTGCATTGACAGGGAACTTCCAGAGGTTCAAGCCAGATTCAGAAGAAGACATGGAATGAGGAATATCATTGCTGACATTAGATGGACCTTGGCTGAAAGCAGAGAATACCACAAAGAGCACAGAGACTTTGATCTTCATTAATAAATTTACATTGGGTTGCACCTCATTGTAAAGAAAACAAAAATCCTCAATAATGGACCAATAAGTAGCATCAAGATAAATGGAGAAAAGATTGAAGTTGTCAAAAACTTCATTTTACTTGGATCAACCATCAACATTCAAGGAAGTAGCAGTCAGGAAATCAAAGGACATATTGCATTAGGCAAATCTGCTTCACAAGACCTCTTTAAAGTGTCCAAGAGCAAAGATAACAGTTTGGGGACTAAGGTGTGCCTGACCCAAGCCATGGTATTTTCAGTAGCCTCATATGCATGTGAAAGTGGGACAATGAACAAGGAAGACAGTAGAAGAATTGATGCATTTGAGTTATGGTGTTGGGAGAAGAATATTAAAAGTACCATGGTGTGCCAAAAAGAGCAAATAAATCTGTGTTGGAAGAAATACAACCAGCATGCTCCTTCAAAACCAGGATGGCCAGACTTCATCTCTCAGACACATTGGTGGAACCAGTCCCTGGAGAAGGACATCATGGTTGGTTAAATGGAGGGTCAGTGAAAAAGAGGAAGACCCCCAATGAGATAGACTGGCACAGTGACAGCAGTGATGGACTCAGACATAGCAATGGTTATGAAGTTGGCACAGGATCAGGCAAGGAGCTCTGGTAGCTAACCTCAAGGTTGGCAGTTTGACACTACCAGCCTTCCCGTGGGAGAAAGATGAGACTTTCTGCTCCAGTAAGGATTTACCGCCTTGGAAACCCTGTGCAGGTCACTATGAGTTGGAACCGACTCCTCAGTACTTAACAACAACAGGACCAGGCAGTGTTTTGGTTTTGTTGTGCTATGAGTTGCTATGAATTGGTACCTACTCAATGGCCCCAAACAAAAGCCCTAAGTTCTGATGAACATCCCGTGAGCCAGTCATTACTGGGGCCAGACTCTTAAGGTTCTTCCTACCCTACTCTTGTAACTTAAAATCTTTTTACAACAATCTTCCTGGAATTTTTATTGGACATTTATAATATGTCAGCCAGGTGCATTATAGAAGATGGGATTTTCTGAGGGAGCCCAATGAAAAGCATTCTTTTCCTTGCCTGATTCTAAATAAATTGCAAAGGAAAACCAAGGAGTGGCAGGTGACAGTCCCCAATGATGGTCTTTATTACTGATAGAGGCCAGACTGAAGGATGGACTTTAGGGTGAAAGCCAAATGGACCCAACCACCACCACTGCCATCCCAGCCCAGCAGAAAGCCTGCTTTCAGAGGAAAGAAGCAAGGGTCCAGGCTACACACACTTAGTTTATTCTTCTCAAATTAACCAGTTGCAGAAGTCACCCTTTCGTTTTCTCTGGGGCCAGGCTGGGAAATGACGGAAGTGGAGTAGGGCAGGGCAGGGGGTCTAGGCAGTGCTAGGCACTTGAAGCAAGGCCCAAAGGCCAGCCCAAAGGCTAATGGGAGTCTGTTCTTGGTGGTTGAAGAGTGGCTAGGAGTTAAGCGTAATGGAGTTCCCACCATTGAAAGCAAGCATCCCTGACACATAGATTCCCTCAGAGGATCCTTCCAACAATCCCACAGGTCATTGATATTATTTTGATCCTCATCTCACAAATGAGAAAGCTGGGACTCACAACATCTCTACTGAGTTGCTGAGCCGGGGCTTGGGCCATGTAGACACTAGGGCTTGGGCTCTGTCTAGTGAGTAGAAGGCTGGCTCTTGGGAGAGTCACCCATGGTTCTGATCGTTCTTCAGGACCATATCCAACAAGTTCCTCTTCCTGACAACCTTTCAGATACTCTGAAGATAGTGACTTGCCAGTCACATGTTGCCCTTTCACCTGTGTCTGGTAGCCACCATGCTGTCCCTTCCCTCTACTCTCTGTCCTTCCCCTCACCCCCAGACTATAAAGTGAGCATGAGGGATGCGGTGACCCGAGGTTACAGCTGAGTTCAGTCTCCAAACTGTGGTCAGCACCCAGCTTCCTACACCCCTGGTGGACCTTACAGATATTGCCCTCTGGGGGCAGGGAGCATCTCAGGCCCTCTAACCCTCCTCACTCATTCTGTTTCTGCAGGTATTGCTGACTACAGACCCAAGGACGGAGAAACCATCGAGTTGAGGCTGGTTAGCTGGTAACCTCTAGGCTCACTCATCCCTGGGTCTCTCTGCCCTTCCTCCAGCCACCCTGTAACAGGCACTGCCTGGCCCTCTACCAGCTCCTGTGCCATCTCCTTGGAACAATAGCCCCTGGATCACCTCTTGCCACTACCTTTTCAAGGGTCCTAAGCCAGAGCCCCCTGGAGCAAAGAACCAAGCACCTGCCCCCAGAAGTTTCTGAGTTTGAGTCTGGTGTCCTAGGAAGATCACATGGTCTGAAAGACATGAAGAGTCTCCGCTTCCTCTGGATGAAGAAGTCACCGGCTGGCCACTCTGGGACGGTGACCCTGCAAGCAGTCTTAGTGACTCTGATCCCAGTTCTGTGCTTGGCCAGGGTGGTGTTCGGGCTCCTAAATGATTAAAACATTGATTGTGCACATATTGCATTCTGCTGGGGCCTCGTGCTCTTGAGTGCAAGGATCGAAACCTGAGGAGGTTGGTCCATTGAGAGATGATGGTGGTGGAGAAGGGGGTGTGCATGTACAGTGCTAGGTGATTTTTTCTTGCATAACCCTGGGGGGTGGTTGTTATTTTCATCTTCACCTCTGCTTTACAGATAAAGGAGCTGGTGCTTAAAGAGGGAAGATGACTCACCTGAGCTCACAGACCAGGCAGTGGCTCTGGAGGAGGTAGTGTCAGGCAGGGGCATACAGACCTGGCTTGGGGCATCTTCTTTTTTTGGTAAATACCATGTAATAATAATCATAGGTAACAATCAATTAATATAAAAATAATAGCAAAGTATGATGAAGAAACAGAATATTAGCAGTCTCAAACTGTTGTTCTATTAGAAAGTTACTAATTAAAAGGTGAAAGTTACGGGCTTGATAATAGGAGAGAATGGAAAGAAATGTACTAAATAAAAAATGAAAGTCTTAAAACCAAATACATAATCAGTACATTTAACATTGTTACATCAGTAAAAAACTTTAAAAAAAAACAACAGAAAACCCACATTGGATCGAGGTCGGTCATTGTCCTTATTATAATAGCCAAAGAGTTAGAAAGACAAAATGACACGTGAACAGAGGCAGTCTGCACAGCTGATCAGGACACATCCCTGCAGTTACAAATACGCTGTCATGTGTCACTGAGAATCTCTGCTCACATTCAGCACTGTGTTTGATGGCAGAGTCCCATGATCACAGTGTGGATGGAACATCCAGTTTCTGACACAACCTCTAAACTCTTGAATTGTGATACGTGAGTGGAAGTAACAGCTTCCCCACGTTCCTCACACTCACAGCGACCTTCTCTTCAGTGAGCAGAGCTTGTCTATTGTAGTGTGATAAGCATCTAAACCTTCTGCTGCATTCCTTACACTGATAAGGTTTCTTTCCTTTTTGGAATCATGGCAAATTTTGTAGAATCATGAGTAGTTCTTTACATTAATTTGCACATTGCTCTGCACTGTGCATCCTTAAATATGAAGTGAGGTCTGAGTAACAAACATGCACTTTACCAAGTTCGCTACATTCATAAGGTCTCTGCTAACTAACTATGAGTTCACCTGTTTAGTGAGGATTGGTTTCTCCATATTCCTTACACTCATACTGAATTTCTCCACTATGATATATCATATGTACAGTGAGGGATGAGGCATAAACAAACGCTTTTACACACTGTTGACATTCATATGGCCTCTTTCCAGTGTGGCTTTTTCTTAGTGAGGATTGAGGGCTGCCTGAACACTTTCCCACACTGTGTACACTCATTAAATTGGGTCTTCACTGTGACTTTGCACATGTGTAATGTGGTGTGAGGAATCCTTAAAGGCCGTCCCACATTCTGCACATTCATTGGGCATCTCCCCACTGTGAGTCTGCATATGTTTCAGAGGAATGAGTACCTACCAAAGACTTTCTTGGGGCATCTTCTTGCTTCTCTACTTAAAATACTGTTATGACCCACTGCTGGAGCCCAGATTCAATGGAAGCCCAGGACTCTAGGACCATAATCTCTCTTGATGTCCCCCAAGCCTGGTCAGGGTGCCTTCCCCGTAACATTTGGGGTGCTGAGTTCGGAAGGGCACCTGTCACCAGTGGGGCCTGTGGTTAGGTCAGGTGCCTGGGAAGACCGTGACACACATGGAGTCCTCAAAGTCACACTTAAAATATGGGCCTCTTCCTTACAGCATCACTTTTAAATAGTGTCTGGGAGATAAAGTCAGAGATTTAAAACTTTTGATAGTGAAACAAACATGGAAGTATCTGGAAGCCAAGTGCAAAATTGACCTCCAGTTTTAAGGTCAACTGTCTGCACCCAGGACCCTTGAGTGCTTGTTCACATGCCGTGTCCGTCCTTAATCATGGAAAGACCTGCCCTCTAACAATCCTGTCACAGAGGGCTGGGGCCTCAGAGACTCGGGATACACAGCCTGTGGGAAGTGGAGCCAAGATGCTCACTGAGTTGTCCAACACCAGGGCTGGGTGCTTGTCACTGTGCCACCCTGCCTCTCTAGCCTAGAGACACCCATCTGGGAAGGTCTATGTATGAAAAATATCTTTTAGAAGGATCAGCACATAACTGGTTCCGATGAGGTAGTGGCTAAAGATATCCCAAATGTCTAACTTTTCCAACATGTGAAACTACTCCATTATCCTTGACATCAATCACCACTCCTCCCTCCCTCACGTCCCAGGGTTCTGCAATCTGCTGCAACATCTCACACAATTGGCTCACACAATAGTGGAGGCCAGCAAGTCCTAAAGCTGTAGTTCAGAGGTCAGTCTAGAGGATTCTCTTCACCCATATAGTCTCAGGGGCTGAGGAATCTAAATCAGCCAGCCAGAAGACAGACTGTTGATGCACAGAACTACCGTAGCTGGTGAATCAGGCCAGGAGATAGGCCACACAGGTCAGAAGGGATGAGCCAGACTTGAGATCCAGAGCAAGAATGAAATTTTGTCAAAGCATTTTATGACTTGGACTCAGACCATGCCTCCAAGGAAAACTACGGGTGGTGATTTGAGTCACAGCCTCTAGTCAAGTGAAGGCATCCTTAATCCTTGTTCCACCTTAATCCTTACTCCTTGTTGTTGTTATGTGCCTTCCAGTCCCAACTCCTAGAGACCTTGACTTCAACCTCACATAGGGTTAGCAGTGCAGTGCTTATCCTATAGCACCACACCAAGACTCCTCCTTAGCCCCACCTTAAACTTTATTCTTCAATTCCACCTTAATCCTTAGTCCCACCTTAATCCTGCCTCATTAACAACTCATTTCAAAATGACAGGCATGTTGTTGTTGTTGTTTACGTTTCAACTCATAGCCACCCTGTATAGGGTTCATGAAGGAGCTCAGGTAGTGGTTACGAATTGGGCTGTGAACCGCAAGGTCAGAAGTTCAAAACTATCAGCGGTTCTGCGGGAGAAAGATGAGGCTTTCTGCTCCTGTAAAGATTTACAACCTTGGAAACCCTGTTCAGTGTCACTATGGGTGGGAACCAACTCTACTTAACAATAGAGTTTCTGAGGAGCGGCTGGTGAGTTTGAACCACCAACCTTGAGTCCAGTGCATTACCCCACAGCGCCACACAGTCATAGGGGCTAGAACTTGCCATACATCACGGAATGGAAGAATACAGCTAGACAGCCCATAATAAATACTTAACTGCCCTGCAATCTGTAAATAGCCCCTGGTGGCAGCCTGCTCTCAAGGTTTGATCCTACCTTCAGGAGAGCCTGTGTGAGGTGAGGTGCATTTGGCTCTAAGGAGCAGGAAGCTGCCGAATCCTGCTCAAATTGAGAGACTATCTATTGGAAAAACCTAGACTACCAACGTAGGGTCAGCCACGGGTGTTAACAAAATTGAAATTGGGTTTAAGGACCCTGTACTGGGCTACCCTATGGGCTTCTCCATCTCTTCTCCTCAGCCACGTGGGCCTAGCAGGGACCTTCTGCCACTTTCTAGTAGTTCAAGATCCTTTCCCCGGCCTACTTTCTCAGCCTGTGCTTCAGAGTTTGAGGCACAGCCTAACCCTGGTCACCTGGTCAAGGTCTAATCTGGCATAGTCAGTAAGACCCGTGTGAAGTGGAGGACAATCATGTCCTGGACAGGCCCCCAGGGCCTGGAATGGCCCTTCCAGCCCCCCAGAAAGAGTCTAACATATAAGGTGTCAGGTTTGCGTTGAGCCTGACACTTAGATCTTTATGATGCCAGACAATCTCCTTTCTCTTCTAAGCTGTTGGATGCTGACTTGGTTTATCCAGCATGTGATGTCAGCAGCCTCCCAAAACCTTGAGAGGATATTGTTGGCAAGCAAAGGAGGACTTGCCGCCTGTCTCTGTAGTCAACCACAGAGACCAAACATCACATTTTATTAGCAGGAAGACCATGGGAATAGCTTCCCAAAGCTGCTGTGCTAGCCACTAAATCTCTACACATCATATAGGGTAAGTTACAGCTGGAAAAATGATTATCCTTTCATAACACTAAAGTAACATTTCACAAAAACAAAGGAACAATGTGTTTCTTTATCATAGATTGTTATCACTGGGGTCCTTTCAACCCGGATTCCTGCAGTCCTTCCATAATGGCAGGGGAGTGGGTTAACTTCCTCAGGGATGAGATCACTAAGACCATTGCTCTCTTTTACTTCATTGTCTTGCTTGGACCCTATTTTAACTTTAGTAAAGGAGTCGTCTATATCCATATCACTGCTTCCAATTCATAGACGGGGGAAACTAACACATAAGCAGTTAACAAAAGGAACCTTTCCTCTCCTGTGCCCTTCCAGCCTCTCCCCTAGGGTTGCCTGCTTCCGGTAGTCATGACCTGAGTCTCGAAAAGGCAAATCTTAAATTCAAAGGATCTTGGGAATCTGTGGGGCAAGGACAGGTCACTCTGAGGGTAGACCTCAGGGAATGTGATGGAGACCTTTGCTGCCCTCTATGAAGCTGAGTCTCAACCCCTTCACAGGATGATCTCACTGAGAGTCCTGTTGGGTGCAAAAGTCAAGGCCATTAAGAGCTGGGGCTCTAGAATCATACAGCACTCAGCACCACTCATATACTGCATGCTCCTGGGCCCCAGAGTCCTCATCTGTGGGGAGGATAACCCCTATGCCTGCCTCTGGGAAGTGTGAGGTGTGGATGAATGTTCCCCCGACTCCCTATACTGGTGGCCTATCTTCCTACACCCTGACCCTGTGAGTTTCTGTCTGGAATGGTCACTCCAGGGTCACTACTGCAGGCTGGACCCTCTGCCCTTGGTCTTTCCACACCCCATCCCCACCAAGGTTTGTTGGGCCTTATCTTTGATAACCCTCTTTTCTCAAAGTCATCTCTCACCAGCCTGGGCAGGGTAGGACTACTGTGGAAGCTTGGAGGCAGCGTAGACAGATTTTCACACTCATCACTCTGTGTCAGTTCAGCTCTGGGGTCAGTGTGTTGATATTGTATGTGTGTATGCATGTTTCTTTATTTTTAATTTTTTATCGTAAGCTGAGTGAAGTTTACAGAGCAGATCATTAGCTTTACATTCGACAAATCATAGACTTCATTTCACTGCAAATATTGCAGTCCCCTTCATGTAATAGTATTTACCTCTATTCACTGCGATTCTTGCATTCTTTCCCCTATAAAAACAACAACTTATTGGTCCCCAAAAGAATGTAACTCTTGTTAAGTGCCATCAAACTAATTCTGACTCATAGTGACCAGGTATAGGGTAGCAAATGAGTAGCTGGTGGGTTTGAATCACCGACTTTGTGGTTAGCAGTCCAGTGCTTATCTTAGAGCGGGGGTTGTTGTTGTTAGGTGCCATCGAGTCGTTACCGACTCATAGCGACCTTATGCACAGCAGAACGAAACACTGCCCAATCCTGGGCCAACCTCACTGCTGTTGCCACGTTTGAGTCTATCGATTCTGCCACTTAGCTGATCCATCTCTTTGGAGGTCTGCCTCTTTTTCTCTGACCCTCCTCCACCTTACCAAACATGATATCCTTCTCCAACAACTGGTCCTGACAATATGTCCAAAGTATGAGAGATGAAGTTTGGCCATCCTGGCCTCCAAGGAGCACTCTGGCTACACTTCTTCTAAAACGATCTATTGGTTCTTTTGGCAGCCCATGGTACTTTCACTATTCTCCTCCAACACCATAACTCAGAGGCATCAATTCTTCTACGGTTTTCCTTATTCACATCCATATTTGCATGCATATGAGGTTATTGAAAATACCATGGCTTGGGTCAGGTGCACCTTAGTCTTCAAGCTGGCATCTTTGCTCGTCAACACTTGTTGGTTGTTGATCCAAGAAGAATGAAGTCCTTGACAATTTCAATCTTTTCTCATTGATTAGAATGTTGTTAGTTGTTATTAGGTGTCATGGAGTCTGTATTGACTCATAGCGACCCTATGCACAACAGAACAAAATACTGCCCGGTCCTGGGTCAACCTCACAATCATTGCTATATTTGAGCCCATTGATGCTGCCACTGTGCCAATCCATCTTGGATAAGCACGGGTTTACTTGTGTTTACTTACTAACCTTTAGTGAACAATTTCACGTGGGTTTCACCACATCTGTGGCGAAAAATATGTGAGACTGTTCACTACAGATTATTAAAGAAGCACAAATAGCGTAGTCCTTACGAGTGGGGCTGCTCATTTTAAGGTCAGTAGTTCTGCTGTTCCAGGGGAGAAAGATGAGGCTTTCTGCTCCCGTAAAGATTTACAGGGTCAGAAACCCTATACAGAATTTATGAGTCAGAATCGATTCCAATACTGGGCAGGAACTTTCACCAGTACAGAAGCTGGTTGTCAAGAAAGAGCTTGGACTGGGCACCATTTCCTAAGAGTACTAATTATCCATTCCTGAACCCAGAAAGCACCCATTGTTCAGATGAGGATAACCGAGGCCCAGTGAGGGGCTTGGTGGCAGCTGCTCCGACGCCAGCCCAGGGCTGTATGTCTTGCTAGGGCTGGACGCCAGGAAATCCAGCTATGAATCAGCTCTGAGTGCCTAGGGTCTGTTGTAGGGAATGGATGCCAGAGGTACCCCGCTTCCGCAGCTGTGGGTGGTCCTGGTGATTCAGTTCCCCTCTGTGGCCAGAAGGGGAGGGGAAACTGGCGATAGGGAGGGGTGATAGAGAGGCCTTAAGGGACACTGACCCGATACTCATCTCGGAATGGGGTGCGGTGGGGCCCTCCTCAATACTCCATCTTTGTCGATCTCAATTGGGGATTCGCCTTGGCGCAGATGGAAAGGAGCCTGAATCCCTGCCAGGAGTAAGGTGGGGCTGTGAGAATGGGCAGTAGCGCAGGATGAAGACCAAGAAGACACTGATGGAGAGAATGCCAGGCGAGGGGCGGGACGAGGCCGGTTAGGCCCTTCCCCGCCCGCGCTGTCTTTCGTCTGGGGGCGGAGTCGGGGCGGGGCCCAAGCGTCGGACCGCGCCCGCGGGGCTCGGCGGAAGACACTGCCTAAGTCTCAGTCGTAGCAGGAGCCGCCGGGAGCTAGAATCACCGGGAACCCGAGCCGGAGCTGGAATCGCCTGGAGCCAAAGTCGGAGCGCCGGCCCAGTCGGAGAGGAGTGGACGTCCCGCCGCCTTCTCCCAGCCCCCCAGCGTGTAAGCAGCGCCGCTTGGGCACTGTCGAAGGCAGCGAGCGGCGACCCCCGTACAACCCGGCACGGGAACCCAGAGCGCCCTAAACCAGGCCTGGTCACAGCCTTAGCACGCAGGAGATTCCAGTGATGGGATCCTCACCCTAATATCTTGGGGGCAGAAGAGAGAAGAGATTTTCCTTCCATCTAGGAGCGCGGTGTGGGCACTAGGCGAAGAGAAGCCCGGAGATTTTGCCTAGCGCGGGGCAGAGGTAACCTCACCAGGACAGGCGTGAGGATCTGGGAACCTGGAATCCCGGTAGACTCAACCTGGGCAGAGCCGGTCAGGGCCTCGACTCTCCCCGTGGGAACCCGGAGGCTATCCGCACAGAGCTGGGACCTCGACTGACACAGGCCTCACTCTGGAAGCGGTGCCCTTATCTGTCAGAGACGGGCCACGGGGCCCAAAGAACCGGGACCTGGTCCGGCCCGCAGTGGAGCTCTCTGAGGGCCCAGAGCGCCTCTCTGGCGAGCCCGTCCTCCGCCCCGGCTTCACTGGTACGGATGGGCCGCTGCCCCCTGGAGCATCATGACGGCAGGATGACCACGGCTGAGGCAGCAGCAAGGGTTGGCGGTGCCCAGGCGGCTGGGCGCATCGAGTGGCGCCTCGGCAGCCCCCAGGACCTCAGGAGGCCTGGCCGGGTCCGGGTGGCGTTGGTGGCACTGGTGTGGCTACTGACGGGAGCCAGCATGTCAAGCCTCAACAAGTGGATCTTCACAGTGCATGGTTTCGGACGGCCCCTGCTGCTCTCGGCACTGCACATGCTGGTGGCGGCGCTGGCATGTCACTGGGGGGCACAGCGCCCCTTACCGGGCCGCACTCGCTGCCGGGTGCTGCTTCTCAGCCTCACCTTCGGCACCTCTATGGCCTGCGGCAACGTGGGCTTAAGCACTGTACCCCTGGACCTGGCACAACTGGCTACTACCATCACGCCGCTGTTCACCTTGGCTCTGTCAGCATTGCTGCTCGGCAGGCGCCACCACCCGCTGCAGTTCATAGCCATGGGCCCGCTCTGCCTGGGGGCCGCCTGCAGCCTGGCTGGAGAACTCAGGATGCCCCCGGCTGGCTATGGCTTCTTACTGGCAGCTACCTGTCTCCGAGGCCTCAAGTCCATCCAGCAAAGTAAGTACTTGGGTCACTGGCTAAGGAGGTGGGGTGGGCTGGGTGTGTGACTTGGATCGCTGGCTAAGAGTACAGTATTTATCCCATTATACAGACATAGAAACTGGCTTTGAAAGAGGCAGGAACTGAAGCTTAGTTTCAGACCCCAAACCTAGGCTCTGGAGTCAAAACAAAACAAAAAACCATTGTTGCAACCCTATAGGACAGTGTAGACTTGCCCTCTAGGGTTTCCGAGGCTGTAACTCTTTACAGAAGTCTCTCTTCTAATCAGTGGCTGGTAGATTTATAGTATGGATCTTCAGTTAGCAGTTTAATGTTTTAACAACTGTGCCACCAGGGTTCCTTCTAACCATCCAAGAAGTCTTGCATAGTAGTCCTCAGATTTATGCCCCACACTTTGTCTAGTGCTTTTTTTCACTGGATCCCCACAGATTGAGGCATGTGTTCTATTGTCCCCATTTAACAGAGAGTTGGAGAGGTTTGCCTTGGGCCATGTGACTAGTAACAAGACTTGAACCCAGGCAGTTGGACTCCATGCTGTCAAGTGTTGAGTTGTAAGGCTGTGGAAGACTCAGGCCTGGGTGCGGACCAGGGAGAGAGACAACAACAACATAGCATGACAGGTCTGGTGCTGGGTGTGGACCTTGATTCCTCATGAGCTTCACCCTCACTTCACAGATGATGGAACAGACCCAGAGAGGTTCTGTGATTTGCCCACAGCCACAGTTCCTAAGGAGCTCTGGTAGCGCAGTGGTTATGAGTCAGGCTGCTAACCTCAAGCAAGGTCAGCAGTTCAAAACTACCAGCTGTTCCACGGGAGAAAGATGAGGCTTTCTGCTCCCGTAAAGATTTACGGCCTTAGAAATCCTATACAGGGTTGATATGAGTCAGAACCGACTCCACGGCACACTACCACCACCACATTTCCTAGGGATCAGGGAACCAACCTTGTCTATGCAACTCTGGAGCTTGGCTGATAGAATGGGACTGGTGGGGGTCTGACATAGGCCTGTTGTTGTGAAGTGCCATCTAGTCAGTTCCGAGCCATAACGATCCTATATAGGGTTTCTGAGGAGCAGCTGGTGAGCTTTGCAGTGTGGCGCATTATCTCACAGTACCACACCAGGATTCCTGGCATAGGCCTAGCTCCTGCTAAATCTCTCAACCAGAAGCAGGAAGCTGCCTTCCTACCTGCCCTGTTAAGGGGTGTCTGAGTTCCAGTCTAGCAAGAACCCACCCTGTCTGCCTCAACCTAGGGGAGACATGGAAGAGGCCTTGTTTTAAGTCAGACATGATGGTCAGTTCTTATTCTGGTCTCAGACTCCCCATATGTTCAGTGGAGGTGGATCATTGTTAATGGAGGGGTATCTTGCCCTCCCTCCCAGCTCTGGAGTCCTGGCGTGGCACTGTGGGTTAATGTGCCAGACTGCAAAGCTGTTTGAACTGTTATGTTGGCAGTTCAAGCTCACCAATCACTCCTCAGAAATCCTATATAGGGTTGCTATGGGTGGGCAACTACTCAATGGCACGCTTAACAAACAACTCACAGCTCTGAAATCCTATAATCTGGGTGTGAGAGAGGAGATAGGAGCTAAGCTGATCAGAGGCAGCCAGGGGCCAATGTCCCACCTGCCCTGTTATCTTCAGAGGAAGATCCTAAAGCCCTGACCCCATCCTCCTGGGTCTTGAGGCAGGGCCAAAGCCCAGTTCTATTTTTGCCTTCAGGTTACATGAGAACTGGGGACTGGGCTCTGGGCTGAGTCGACAGTGGGAAACCTGACCCCGTGGGGCCCTCCCACGCAGGGTCTGAGCCCACAGGTCACCAACTCAGGCTCAGTGTTCCTAGCACAGGGCCCCAGGCAGCCCCAGAAGGCAGGAGGGTTTCCAAACCCCCAGAAGGCATTGGGTAGCAGGTTCCTGGCTTTGTACCACTTCTTGGCCTCTGCCAGTTTTCTCCTCTCCAAGTCTAAACTAGCCTGGCCCCTGAAGTGGGTCAGGTAGGATGCCTACAGCTGGCTCTCACCGTATTCTGCTTCCCCATACGGGCTTTAAATGCCCTATGTCATCGCCACTTAGTTACCTATCTGCCCTTCAACAGACGGAACCTCTAAGTGGGCGGGGACTGACTTTGGGTCATCTGAGTCCACAGCACGAGGCCTGGCACAGAACATAAACACCTTAAATGGTGGTTTTTATTAAGGGCTCCAATAGCGAATTGGTAGGACTGGCTAGGCACCATGGTGACTAAAAAGGGGGCTTAGGAAGAGGAGGCTCCACCACACATGAAAGCCCAGCAGAGATGGGCAGGAAGAGGCTAGAATGGAGGAAGCTGGGTTTAGGGCAAAGGAGTTTTTACAGTCAGAGGCTCTGTGAGTGACACCAGGGCCTAATTTAGACTACAGTGTAAATGACTGATGCCAGCTCCTTTCCCGAGAGCAGACTCCCTGGATCAGGGGAAGAGTCTCGAGGGAGAGGAGAGACCAGGCCGCAGCTTCCTTCCTGCCTGGGCCAGTGGCAGGCTGAGGGGCTCTCTGTCGAGAAGGGGTGATGCTGATTGCTCACAGAATAGGTGCCAGCTTGCTTTCTAGGAGGACTTGATTCTCAGCTGTACTCATGAGCAGACAGCAACCTGACTCTTGTCCTCTGAGTGCTCAGGCTGGTGGGGGAGATGCACTTAGAATTAGAGGTCACAATAGCTCATAGGAAGTGCCACTGCCCAGGTGGGCATGGGTGTGGTTGTTTCCTGTCTGGGAGGCCCTGTGTGCCCATACCTTGCCCAGTTCTTCCTAAAGACAGAGCGGGAAAGGGTATTCTGGGGGTAGGGCACAGGGTGTCAGCCCACAGGAGCAGATTGGTGGATTGTGACATCTGCTGGTGTGAGCAGTTACCTCTGGGCTCCAGGGCTGGTTTTACTCCTGTGATGTCCTGGTGAGGTGCTGTGCACTGGACCTCAATGTCGGTTTGAACCAGAAAGTTGGCGGTTCAAATTCACTTAGAAACCCGAGACAGGGTCACTATGCGAGGGAACTGATTCGATGGCACTTAACAAATGCCCCTGTAAGGGGGCTGTTGCCACTCCTCCACTTTATGCATGGGAGACTGAAGCACAAGAGATGGTGCCTTGCCTAATATCACCACAGTTATGGAGGAACAGAGAGGGGATCAGCCAGTTGCGAGATGAACAGGGTCCAGAAGGGTCTGTTGTTTGTCTGCATGTGGCAGGTGCTTGGACCTTCTGATGCTGAAACAAGTGGGCCCCCAAGAGGAAGAGACTGAAACTGAGGGCCTAGGGGGTGGCAGGAGAGTAGCGGCTAAGAAGGCAGGATGACGGGTTGGCAGAGGACCATTGTCCTTTTCTGAGCTAAAGGGAGGGATGCAGAGCAGATTGCAAAGGATTGGGGTGGGAAGGTAAGGTCCCTCCTGCCTGGCTAGATAGCTTGTAGAGAGTGAAATACACCAAAGGTGAAGTTTGCCTGAACACACAAATGCCTTCCTGTGATTGGTCCATTGGTCGTTGAATATGCAGGCCACAGGCAGCTTGTCAGGGTGCTAAATTTGGAATGAACAAGCAGAAGGCATTCCAATTATCTGTTCATTTCTAGAAATGTTAAGCCTGAGGGACTGTTGCCTAGAGAACCAAGCCAAAACATAAGAACGAAATCTAGAAAGAAATACAATTTCCTATTCTAAGCATAGCCTATGAGTAAGCATCTCTGTGGCTGTTTGGAATGTGTGTGTCAGAAGATGCTGAGAGCCTGTCCTGAGAGGCTTGCTCATCTCTCACCACTAAACCTTGAAGAGGGTCCAAAACCGTCATTGCAAATATTATTCTCTCACCTGAGCTCTAGTAGCCTCTGCTGGTGGGGCTACTTGCTTTTTGAACTGGCCGGGTGGTAAAGTGTAGACATACACACACATGGAAGAAAACCTTACAAAGCTAAAAGGTTTCCTTCTTAGTCCTGGATTCATTTTGCCCTGCCTCAGTGTTGATACTGATATCAATTATATAACCAGTAAGTGATTGCTTTGCTAAGCACAGACAATGTTCCCTTGTCATCCTAATGTCAGATGGGGATGAAGCAATGGAGGAAGGACCCACCATTTGGACTCAAACTTTAAAACTCTTTTAACTGAAAAGTCAGGGACGCTCTGCTGGCCTTTCCCGGCTGTGGTGCTAGGAGCTGGAGTGTGGAGACCTTTGGTTTCAGGCCAAGAAAGGTGGGTTGAGGCCAGGTGCTGCCTGACTTTGAAAGCTGAGCTAAGAATGAGGACATTTTTCTCCAGGGCTTGAAGGTTTTTAAACAGGGAAAATGCTGCAAGCTTATTGCTTCAGCCTGTGGAAGGTGATTTGAAGTGGGTGACAAGCTGATTTATTTATTAACTTAGTTGTTACGTTTGCTAAGCACTTAACCTTAAGTCCCTAAGTGGTGCAAATGGTTAAGAGTGCCCTGCTAACTGAAGAATTGGAGGTTTGAGTCCATCCAAAGAGGCCTTGGAAGAAAGGTCAATCACCATGTGTTGGAATCAACTCAAGGACATAAGTCTTTATAACAACCCTATGGTTTTTTTCCTCTGAATTATCTTTTTGTTGTTGAGCAGCAAAGCGTATACCAATTCCACAGTTTCTCGTGTGCAGTTAGTGACATTGATTACATTCAAGTTGTGCAATCATCCTCAACTTTTCTGAGTTGTCCTTCCTTATAAACTGCCAGTCCTCTAAGGTTGTATTTAAAAAATAAAAACAAAAAACCAACCCACTGCCACTGAGTCGATTTCAACTCATAGCAACCCTTCATAGACTGTAAATCTTTATGGGAACAGCAGCCTCATCTTTCTCCCGGGAATGAGCTGGTGGGTATGAAATGATGGTGGCTTTGAGGTTAGCAGTTCAAAGTGCTTATCCTACCGCGCCACCCGGGCTCCTAAGGTTGTATTGCTGTTGTTAAGTGCCTTCGAGTTGGCACTTAATCCTGTATAGGATTTCTGAGGAGCAGCTGGTGAACTTGAACCGCCAACCTTGAGTCCAGTGCATAACTCATTGTCTTATTATTTCCCAACTGTACCAGTGAGGAAACCAGGGCTCATAGAGGTCAAGTGCTTAATAAGCTTTCAGGGCACAGACAGTAGGGAGTGGATGCAAGCCCCTTGCCCAGGGGGCTGACTCTAGAGCAGGTGTAGGGAACTGCTGTGTGGGGTGTCTTAGCTGACTATGTGGGGGGTCTGTCACCTTGTCATATGCTGATGGCCGCTGTTCTGGTTGCAGGTGGCCTGCTGCAGGAGGAGAAACTGGATGCGGTGACTCTGTTGTATGCCACCTCACTGCCCAGCTTCTGCCTGCTGGCGGGGGCTGCCCTGGTGCTGGAGGCTGGTGTCGCCCCACCGCCTGCTCTCACGGACTCTCGACTCTGGGCCTGCATCCTGCTCAGCTGCCTCCTATCCGTGCTCTATAACCTGGCCAGCTTCTCCCTGCTGGCCCTCACCTCTGCCCTCACCGTCCACGTCCTGGGCAATCTCACCATTGTGGGCAATCTCGTCCTGTCCCGGCTTCTGTTTGGCAGCCACCTCAGCACTCCCAGCTACATGGGCATTGCACTCACCCTTTCTGGAATGTTCCTTTACCATCACTGCGAGTTTGTGGCCTCCTGGGCTGCCCGCCGGGGGCTGTGGCGGAGGGCCAGTCTGGCAAGGGTCTTTGAGACCCAGGTGAACTTTGGTCCACCTGTGACTGCACCTAACTGAATCTGACCTCGGCCAATGGCCATGGGAGAAGTGGACAATAGGCAGCTGCAACCAGTGTACCCCTGGGAGGGTGAGGCACCTCTGGTGGCTGGAACAGGGACTCCCAGAGCACAGACCACTGGATGGTGTGCCTATTCCTGGCCCAGCGAGGGTGCCTGACTAATTGTGATGGTGAGCATCAACTATGTTGCCGAACACTGCTGACCAAACTTGGGAAACCTCAATGTGTTATGGTGATGATTCTTGGCGGTTGCACAATCCCTCCCAATGGGAAAGGCAGCTGGGGGGCTCAAGAAGGGCTTCTTTGCTGATGGGTTACCCCCAGGGAATTGGAGTGGTCCATGCCAACTCTAGGCAGCTACTGCGGCCTTATCCTGGGCCTCCCAATTTTGGGTCTTCCGTCTTCAAATAAACTTATTTTTGCTTGTACACCTGTGTCATTCTTCGGGGTATAGTTGAGGGAAGAGGAAAAACTCACTCATCAAGTGACCAGCCAGGACATTCTCCCTTACTCACCACAGCTTGTGCAGGTCCCCACCCGCACCCCTGTGCTCTCTAAAATACCTCCACTGGCCAGGCCCCATTTAAGGGAGCCCACTGCCGTAGTTCAGGAACAGGGCCTGGGAGGCTGGCCGAATGGGTGACAGGAAGCAGCCTGGTGTAGGACCCCCTGGGACCCAATTCTGTTCTGCTGACTCTGACTTTGGAGGGGAAGCCTCCTCTCTGATCCCATTGGAGAGGATGGAATGAGGTACCCATTGGGCAGGGCCGGGTGTGGGGCTGCCTCTGTCCCATCTTGGACTAGTCACTCCACCCTTTGTGAAGTTCCAGGTCCATCAGGAAAACAGCGACAGTCTTCCCTTTCTGTGTGAGCCAAGGGGGCTAGACCAGGCTGGGATTGGGGTCTGAGGGGCCTAAGACTCGGCGGGGGATTATTCTTTCAGACAACTGAATTTCTACTAACTGCACGAAGACAAGGCTGGGGTGGGGTAGTGAGGGGCCTAGAAGGACTGGCAAGGGGGTCCTGGTCTCAGCCTCTGCCAGCCTGGCCTACAGGAAGTAGGGCCTGGCTGAGTCATCCACTACCCACCCTCCCTGTGACTCAGAGATGCCGCTGGCCCTGCCCAGTCCCTGAGTAGCCTGGGCAACTCCAGGCTCCACCCTGAGGTTTGGCCAAAGCCTGCTTGGTGACTCGGGACCCTTCCTCATTTGATGATGGATAAGCCTGCCCAGGGTGGTTGTGGGAGTGAGGCAGGGGGCACTTGGAGCTGTGCCTGACCTCAGGGCCATTAGGTGATTGCCCCAAGGTCATATAGCCAAGTCCTCCCTGGGGTGGACACGGGGAACAGTGGACTGGGAGGTAGAGAGTCTGTGGTTGAGTCCTCGTCCCCCTTATTCCTGATGTGACCACAGTGGGTCTCTCCGAGCCTCAGAAATAACAGTGGAAAAGACTTGGCAGGTTCCAAGCAGGGAGGATTCTCACAGACAGGCCCGGCCTCAGACAGCTGTCCTCTCAGGCCTCTGTGAGCCCTCGTCTGCATCCAATCACTGTTGGGAAGTCTTCTCAGGATAACAGATGCCAGCTTCTCCGGGAAGCTCTCCCTCAGCTCTCCATCACAGCCCACTCCCAGAGCTGAACCACCGTCTCTTCTCCATCACACTGGGCCCCGTGGGGATGAGATGATTGCTCTGCCCCAGCACTGGCACTATGTCAGGCACAGAGTCGGCAGGAAAGAAGACTAGGCAAGAACAGGGCTCTGGAGTCAGATCTGGCTTCAGATCCTGATTCTGGGATTTGACCTTGGGCAAGCGGTGTGACCGATCTGGTTTGGGTAGGCTGCAGTGAGTTAATACATGGAAAAGTTCTTAGCAACTGTGCCTGACACACAGTAGGTCCTCAAACTTCAGCAAATGTACCCTCCTTCCAGATGTCTCTCAGGGCCTCCCCCAGGACTTGCTGGTCTTCCAGTGCCCCCAGGGCATATTCCTTCTGGAACAGAGCAGCATGGATGCCTCCAGCTTCCCTTCCTGCTACCCTGCCTTGGAGGAAGCCAGGGACGCTGGGTCTGCACTGGGCATCCTGCCATTTTTGGCCTTCGGAACAAAGCTGCAGCCTTGTGTTAGCCCCAGCAGCTGCCAGGGTGCCCTTCCCATCCTCCCAAGGGGGCCCCAGGATCATTATTTTAGGGGCCAGAGCAAATGAGGATTGTTCTTGCTCCCTACTCCAGCACTAAATCAGCTCCGGTAATGCCAGAAACTCCACGTTTGCACTGTTCCTGCCTAGTTGCAAATCCTTCCTGGAAACAACTCAAGTATTTACCCGAGGACGGTAGTGAAAGAGAAAGCCATGCACTAATACTCACGAATGTTTTTAGATATGGGCCTTCTGTTTGATCTGGGTCTTATGCGAAGAAGTTGGAGGGGCTTGAGACAGGAAGTACAGGAAACCAGATAGGAGTGTGGTGCTGGTCCAGATGAGTAGATGGCAGGATAAACTAGGTGCTGGCAGTGGGGACAGTGTCTTGGGCATATGGGTGGGCATGTCGGGGGGAGAGTGTCTTGGGCACAGTGGGCATTAATTGCAGGGGAGCAAAAGATCCCAAAATGTTATGCTTTGAAGCACCAAGCATGTCTCATCTCATATTTTCTGTGGATCAGGAATTTGGGAGTGGTTTAGTGGGCACATTGCAGTCTGATGTTGGTCAGGGTTACAGTCATAAGAGGGCTTGACTGGGGCTAATGGACTCTCAAGATGGGTCACCCCCATGGCTGTTGGCGGGATGCCTCCGTTCCTTGCCATTTGGGCCTTCCAGCTGCAGTATCCTCATGTCATGGTAGTTAGTTGCCACCAGAACAAGTAACCTAGTCTCATAACTCACAAGCTGTCATTTAATAATACCATAGTTGTTATACAGATCAACTCTATTCAATGTAATTCTTCCCACAATGACTACACAAGGGCATGAATACTAATCAGGAGGAGAGGATCTTTAAGGCTACCTTTGAGGTTGACCTTGAGGCTGGCCATCAATGAATGTTTACTGAGTGAGGATACAGCCTAGGACCATGAGAAATTAGTCTCAGAACTTCTTGTTGGGCCAGATCTTGTCCATCACACTTCTGCCACATCTTTGCACAATCTTGGCCCCAAAGCAGTTCAGAGATAGGGTTGGAAGCTGCTTTCTTTTCTTACCTTTGCAGATGGAGAACACCCAGGCTCCTTGATCTCAGAAGCCTTGGGTGTTCTGATGTCTCTATGACTACTCCCATCAAGTTATATGGGCTTGCTTCTCCCAGTGTTTGTTGGGGTCTCCTGTCCCCTCCTAACTTCCTCAGCCCTCATATGCCCTCACCCTCTCCTAAGCACCATTAGTGCCTAGTAGTACCATCTTCCTGAACTGGGTATTCTCTTTGCATGTTTAAATTTTCTTTAGTAGAAGAACCCCTGTTTGTGCCATCTTATGTTGTAGTCTTACATCAAACAAGGCAAAGCCGAGTAGTCAAGATCCTCTCGCCCCTTAAGTACTTGGGCTAAACTGCTCAAGAATCCTGCTTGGAAACCACAGGTCTAGTTCAGTTTTCATTGTACATATAAATATGAAGAAACCAGAGCCCATAGAGGTGTGAGAACTAAGACGACCTCATGCAAGCTCAGTGGTGGGTTTGCCACAAGAAGGCCTGACATTCCCCACTTGATCATACAAAGGCATTGTAAGTATTTTGCCAAGAGTAAATCTAGAAAGTTTAGAGGTCCTTTTGGGAGATTAAACACACAAGGACACAAATATGGGATTAAATATGCCAGGATTTTATAAGGGGACATGTCTGTAAGAGAGAAGAGGGGAAGGCTGGGAGAACTGCCTGATTATAAAACAACTCCGAGTGGAGGAGAGAGGAGAGAAAGGTTGGGTGGAACATTCTAGACTACCCTACAGTTTAAGGCAAGGCCATCCGGGAGTTCTGGAGCCAGAGAAGCCAACCAGAGGAGTTCTGTGATTCCCAAGAATGGGCCTTAGTATCCCTGCTGTGCTCAGGAATTGGCTGGGAGGAGCTGGCGAGAGGTGTGGTCCCAGCCCATTCATAGTGATGGATTTCAGAGTGCAGCAGCTGGGGTCCTTGATTGTAACTGGAGGTCTGTGGCATGCACTTTCATGACCAGACAGTGATTCTCATTTTACAGAGTAGGCAAAATTCTAGAAAAATTAAAGGAGGTGACTCCATACTTTCCAACTCCCACCTCAAGCTCTTGCCTTAAATGATACGGGTCCTCAATGCAGAGGTGGAGGGTAATGGATTCTTAGGGCATTTGGGTTTGACATCTAGTATAGTAGGTGGGGTTGTGAGCTTCATAGTCCAGAGTTACCTGGCCCTGGGTTTTTAAATGAGATCGCCATCTTAATAAAGGTCTTTCAGAGACCACCTGGTCTTTCCAGGGACACTAGCACAATGCCACTTATCTTAAAGGGCTTCGTAAACCCCACAGGACCTTCTCAAATCAAAGTTGACTTTAATTAATTAGAAATAATATGATGCAGCACTTTTGGAGTGGGAGATTAGAGGTCTTGGATTCCTGCTCCAAGCCTTATAGGATTGCATGAAAAATTTCAGCATGAAGTTCATGTTAGATTGCCTGAGTAAGAAGCTGCTCATTTCTCAGTCTAGAAGAACAGAGGGAGAAGTTGGGGAAGAAGTCTTGAACGTTCTCAAGAGCCCAAATAGCCCCAGTTAGATGTGAAATCCTGGTCCCAACACACCCAATTATTTTTCCTTTCTTAATTTTAAGGTATTTACCAAAAGGGGGACAAAGCCATATATCTTTTCAACTATGGAAAAAAATGTTTAGAAGGGCGGAAATATATCAAAATGTCTGATTTAATTATTGCTATAGATAGGAATATTGGAGCTAAGTCAGATTTGTTTTCCTTTTTCCACAAATGTGACTGCATTTAACAAAATTATTATAGTTCCAGTACTACCTTTATCTCTTGAAAGCAACTGAA